CTTCCTTCTTTTTTTTGTTTTCCTGACTTTTTTTCCCTTTCTACATAGGTATTAAAAAATTAAAAAAGAAGAGAGTAGAACACTCTGTAGTAAACACATGCAGGGGAGCTGTAAAAGTTTGTGCAGTATAATCATATCTGTACCTATTCAAAATTAAGTGTAACAGAGTTTAATAAAATTTATTTCCAGTTTTCTCTCCTTGGTTATTCTGGTTGGGAGCTGAAACCCAACAAAAAAATCTACAATATTGGTCCAAGGATAATTTTTTAAATGTTATTTGGAACATTTCTTATCTGCCTTTCATTTCCAAGAAGGCCTACTACAATGTGCATGCATATATGCATACACACACATATATAATATACATATTTTTCAAAGTTAATATAATATTGAGAAGCACCACTATTAAACTAATTATTTAAAATCTTCACTCAGCAAAGTCAAAACCAGTAATTGTAAACAATTATGTTCTAAATCAGAGGTCTCCAATCTTGGCAACTTTAAGACTTGTACACTTCAACTCCTAGAATTCCTCAAATAGCTTTGCTGGCTGAGGAATTCTGGGAGTTGAAGTCCACAAGTCTTAAAGTTGCCAAGGTTGGAGGCCCCTGTTCTAAATACACACAAAAAAGCTCTGAAAATCATAAGTTTGGGATAGTTTTAAAAATGCAAGAGAAGAATATACGTCTATATGTATAAATGTATGTAATGCAATAAGAGCCAAATTGGTGTTTAAGGCATCAGTTTAGAAACTAGCCATTCTAGTCCTGCCTTAGGTCAACTCTCAGTCCTAGGGAAAAGACAATGGCAAACCACTTCTGAAAAATCTTGCCAAGAAAACTGCAGAGACCTGTCTAAGCAGTCACCAGGATTCAACATAACATAGATTTTGGAGTTCTATTGTGTTTTGGAATCATGTTTTTAATTGTAAACCATTTTGGAATTTATTTAGTGAAAATGAAAAATGGTATATAATATAACCCTCCCTGTTTTTAGAAATACCTTCAAATTAAATAATATATTGCAATTATTATCCCATGCACTCATCTTCTGGTTCAGTGATTTTATTTATTTATATCCCTGTAGTATTACTTTTATAAATAACTTGAAGTAAACAAACACACACACAGACAGACAATACTCCAGAGATCTAATGTGCCATGAAAAATAGCATGGCATGTCACTGTGATATGTTCATCATTAGCGTTTTAGTTGTATGCAACTTCTGAAAGAATGAGCAAGGTTGGATCTGGCCCGTTTGTGGACAGCAGACACCTCAACGTAACCCAACACCTTGGGTTAAAAAAAGGGAAATCAATTTTAAACATAAATGGAAATATTCTTATTTACTATAACTCTTGCTGATCAAATGGCAGGTATGGCTCTATATAAAGCCTGCCAGACTTCATGATTACAGAATAAATCCTGTTGTAGCAGAAAATCCTTTCTTAGCATAAAACTGGTTTATAGGAGCAAATTGTCATGTCCGATATTCTTCCCATGATCCTTAGTGCTTGCCACAGACTCATACAGTACATCATAATGTATAAAGAGATCTTGGAGACATACAAGTCACGAATATTAAATAGCATATTAATTGCATCTGCTCATAAATGTTCCATGAACTGTAAAGTACCATAACTTAAGTTTCCCCACCTCCCAAAAAAGACACAGTATAAGATTGAAACTTTATAGACAGTCCCATTTTTGTCCACCTGGGGTCTTCTACTTGAGAAGGGGGTTGGACTAGTCACTAGAATATTTCAAAGGTCCCTTCCAATTCTGTTATTCTGTTCTGTTAAATCTGACTAAAAATGCTTCATGTAAAGGTAAAGATTCCCCTCGTACATACGTGCTAGTCGTTTCCGGCTCTAGGGGGAGGTGCTCATCTCTATTACAAAGCCAAAGAGCCAGTGCTGTCCGAAGACATCTCTATGTTTATGTGGCCAGCATGACTAAATGCCGAAGGCGCACAGAACGTTGTTACCTTCCCACCAAAGCGGTCCCTATTTTTCTACTTGCATTTTTACATGCTTTCGAACTGCTAGGTTGGCAGAAGCTGGGACAAGTAACAGGAGCTCACTCCGTTACGTGGCGCTAGGGATTCGAACTGCCGAACTGCCAACTTTTATGAACGACAAGCTCAGCATTTTAGCCACTGAGCCACCGCATCCCATCAAAATGCTTCATAATGCAACTCAATATCTGATGAAAGTCAAAACAGGCTGCACTTCATTTGCTCCCTTCATCTTGCCTAACAACAGGTTTCGATGGGTCTGTGGATTAAAGAAAAACACTGAGTAAATTTAGAATCTGGTTTTGATAGTGTGTGTTAAAAACTGGCAGCACACGTTCCAATCATTTTGAGGCTAAAGCAAAGAAAAGCAAAAACCCGAAATAGGCTAACTTTAAAAAGAAAAGGTGGGAAAACATTTCAAAATTCTTCAAAGTGTGTCATCCACAGATCAGGGTTTGCAACAAGGGTTTTCACATCAAACTGCCACACTCCTAATGATGCCTTTTTAAAATATTTTATTTTTAACTTAAAAGAAAATATACAGGCACCCCACACCATCTTGCATAAATGCACACTTTGGGACCTGAGAGCTGGTTGCTCATTAACAAAATGCATGGGCATTTTGTTTTGCAATATGGATAATTGAACCCACCAACACACCAAGCCCACATTTTAAAAGTGGTCAAGGGGCCATGCTTGGAAATCCATAAAGGAAAACAACCATATTATGATGATTCAAGATATAGCTGTCCCAGAGCAATGTCATGATCAGGGAAAATGAGGTTAGCTCTCAAGTTGGGCACTTTCAGAGAATAAATAAAAACAGCCTTGTTCACCCCAACTCTCAGGATGACATTGGCCCATGGACTTTAATATCTGTTGGTATGTACAGGTAGTCCTTAACTTACAACCACAATTAAGCCCAACATTTGTGTTGTTAAGTGAGATATTTGTTAAGTGAGTTTTGTTCCATTTCATGACAGCTAAGTGAATCATTGCAGTTGATAAGTTAGTAACACGGTTGTTAATTGAATCTGGCCCCATTAACTTTATTTGTCAAAAGACTGCAAAGGGTGATTACATGACCTTTGGACAGAGCAGCTGTCATAAGTGTGAACCAGTTGCCAAGCAACTGAACTTTGATCACATGATCATGGAGATACTACAAAGGCCGTGTGAAAAACAGTTGTCATTTTTTTCAGTACCGTTGTAACTTTGGTCACTAAATGAACTGTTGTAGGTCAAGGACTACCTGTACTTTGCAGGTCCTTTTTACAACAGTGGCCAGAATAACAATACACCCATGCTGTATTTTGCATGAGCTTTTCACCATCCAGGGCAAAAAGTATCTCCAACACAGCCCCACTTTTTTTTATTGAAGCACATGTTCAAGGTCAACTCAGTCTTGTTCAAGTGACTGCAATGTAGTCCTTGACTTACGACCATAATTGGAACCAGAATTTCCATTGCTAAGCAAGGTGGTTTTTAAATGTGTTGTGACCAATTTTACTACCTTTTCTGCCATGGTTGTTAAGTGAATCACTGCAGTTAAGTCAATCATGCAGCCGTTAAGTGAACCCAGCGTCACCAATTGATGTTGCTTGTCAGAAGCCAGCTGGGAAGTTTGCAAATGGCAGTCACATGACCCTGGGATGCTGCAACCATTGTAAATACATGCTGGTTGCCAAGCACCCAAATTTTATTCAGTGACTTTGGGGATGCCACAACAGTTTAAGTGCAAGGACTGGTTGAAAGTCACTTTCCCCCCCCCCCAGTGCTGTTGTATCTTTGAACAGTTGCTAAACTAATGGTTGTAACTTGAGGACTACTTGTATGAGGTGCCTTCCAGGTTCCTAACAATAGCGAGAAAACATTCTGCCAATGCTCAGAGAATTGTCATATCTTCTTTCTACTTGTTGCTGAAAGCCAGCTAGGAAAGTTCAGTCCCATCCCAAATATGACTGCACTATGACTAAATGTCATCCTTCACCTCTCCCATCGCTATTACTCCAAATATTTATTTATAGGCACCCTCAACCAATCTCTCTCATCTTACAAAGTACCTCTTCATAAGTGAATAAACATTTTCAGGAAGATGGGGAATAGGTCCCACATTTATTTTCATTCTTTTCCCTTTTAAACACATTCCTGCATTCTTACGCTTCTAGTCTCAGAAGAAACTTAACTAATGAACCTCCCTCTTCACAGCTTTTACATCCCAGGGCATTTGGAGAAGAAGACTAAAGCCGCCTTCCCTGCTCCACTCCCATCTACACAAACATACCCCATCACGCGTATATGTCAGATAAAAACACCAAGCACAACGCCAGCTGGCGGTTAAAGGAAGTGTGCGTTCACTCATGGCGGGGGAAGAAGGTTGTGCACAGAATCCATCCTTCCCCCCCCCCCCCCCACACCTCAAATCTTTCTGACTCAAAACCTGGCCTTGGCCCCACAGAAATTGCAGCCTGCTGCTGACAGCATGACCTCCTCTTCCTCACCCATGCCCAGAAGTGGTCTGGGTCGCTGGCTGAATCTTAATTCAATCATGGACAGGTGCCAGCCATCTCCCCCCACACCCCACACCCCAACCTTACCTCAGACACAAGGATGCACACCACTGGGAGGGGGGGCAAAGGACAGCCATTGAACTCTCAAGTGGGTCCCACCCATCCCCTTCTTTCTCCAGAAAGCCGGTGACTCTTCTCCCACACCCCAACATTGCATCCTCTAGGTGACATTTGCTGTCAGGGGAAAGGGGCACAGGACCACCCAAATTGTGGACCCCAGAGCCCAATAATCACCCCCGCCCCCATTTTGAGACTCTTCTTGCACCCCTCCATGCCCCCCATCCTCCTCTCCCTCCTTTGTTGCTGCAAGCGTCTCCCCCCCAACACACACACACACCTCCACCATCCCCCTCCCCACCCCCATAGCTTTGCAACCCACCCAGCTGCCTCTCCAGCTCTCGGATTTACGCTACCTACCTTCCTTCCACCCGGCCAGTCCGGACGGAGACCCGGTCGGTCCCCCAAAAGCTGGGTTTTTTTCTTCTTCCTTTTCCTTTTCCCGGCCTGACTTAGGCCATGGCCCCGAAAGCGCCCGGCTCTCTTTTTAACAGAAAGGACGCCGGCGGCGTTGCTCCGTGGAAGGCGGGCCGGCGCCTGCCACTCCCTTCGGATGCAAAAGGAGAGGCATCCACCGAGGCAGCCGGAGCGACGGGCAAGAAGATGCAGGGATGCCGCCAAGGAACGGGGATGCTCAGGCGGGCTTGCCTCCGTCCACCTCCGTCCGGGCGAGCTTGGCTTGGCGACGAGGTTCCGCCGGGAAAGGAAGAAAGAGGGGAGAACCGGCAGACACTCGCGGGTCCCGCTTCTGCTTCCCGCTGCTTGCAAAGAGCCCCTCAGCCGAGCCGAGCGGCGCTTTGGCCTCCCCGGCGCTTTCTGCCACACTAACCAGCCTTTGCCTGGAACAAAAGGGGAAGGAGCCGCGCGGGCCCGTAGAGAGGAGAAGGGAGGGGAGGGGCAGTTCCAGCTGTTTGCATCGAGGCTCCTTCGCAGAGCGTTCTAAAAGCCTCGTCTCTTGGGTTCTCAGGCCCCGGCGCTGCAGCGGAAATCAGGCGGGAGGGCGGGAATCCTTCGCCCATTCATTCATGCATGCACACAGAGGGTGTGTTCCCACACTACGGATTAAACTAGGGTGGGATAAGGAACCATAAAGGGGAAGGGCAAATTGCGCTCTCCTCTGCCCCTCAGCCCCTTTCAAGGGCTTTTAGAATCCCCTTAAAAACTAAAGGTGATTTTTGAAGGTTGCCGATGCGCTGTCCTGAACTGTGAGATGTTAAGAAAAGTGAAATTTGCTAAAATAATCCTGTAACAAAACAAAGCGACAAATCGGGTGGCAGGTTTCATTCATTATTTGTCTTGATTAGGCTTTTCCGGGGCTGTAGAGTATTGATCGGTATATTATGCAAATCCAGAAAACGTGTCAATTCAGAAAGTCGCTTAAGTGTGAATCAGGCATAGTGTGGGTGCCTTAACAAGCTGCAAGCATCGTTGTTTTTAATTGCTATCAAATTCAAAGATGCCTTTGAGTAAAGCTGGCTGTTGTTTGAGCCAGCAGCCATGTCACTATCTTGCAGTGCTGCCTTCCAATATGTTTTTGAACTTCCGAGGCTTAAGTGGTGGTCTTTTGATGCCTCCCAACCAATTATTAACCAAACCTGACCCTGCTTAGTTTGTGCACGCAGAAAAAGTGAGCAGATGCTGTTACCTTCTAAGACAAAAAAGTTTTAAGAAGGAAAACGATGCACAGTGGCAAAAATGCAGTGGAACACAAATAGAATCAGAAAATAAAAATTACAGCAAGTACCCACATGCTCTGAGCAGGAATAAATATATAATACACAAACTGGTGTATTTAAATAACACATAGAAAATGTAACATTGTAAAAAAAATTACCATATTATTGGAAACTCTCCTGATTGATCATGTTTTATCGAATCAGATTGAAATGTATTATTTTTCTATATCAAATTAATTTATTTTATATGTTGCATATACCAGAGTGTATATTCCAACTACTTCCAACTACTACTTCATGCTTATGATGGTCACGGTGTAGGGTGATTACATGGGATCATGTAATCACCTTTTGTAACCTTCTGACAAGCAAAGTCAATGCGGAAAGCCAGATTCACTTGTTAGCCATATTACTAACTTAACAACCACAGTGTTTAGCTCAACAACTGTGTCATAAAAGGGGGAAAACTCACTTAACAAATGTTTCACTTAGCAACAGAAAATGTGGGCTTAATTGTAGTTATAAGTCGGGGACTACCTGTACTAACCAATTATAAAAATTTATATACTATGTAGCTTTTCTTTTGAAACTCAAGAATGTAAATATGGGTATCTTTTAATTTTATCCACACAACACTCTTATGAGGTAAGTTGGGCAAGAAAATATGATGATTGTCCAATATGGCTGAGCTACCTTGGGCAAATCACAATGTGGTATCTGACAGTTTAGGAACCAATGGCTTTCTAGTGGTGTTTGTGGAGGGAAGATCAAAACAGACACACCATTTCTTTTGTCTATATTTCTTTCAACGCATTAAGTCAAAATCACCCCAAAGAAAAAATATTTTTTATTTTTGTTTATCAACAATAATAAAATACAAAATGGAGAAAGAGAAAAACGAACATCCAACACTAGCAGTGAAGAAAAAGAAAAAAAGTGTTTTTTAATGTATATAAAAAGGGAGGAGGGGAGGAAAAAAATCCAAATGTCAAATATATCTAACATTGAACATAAAGAATCCACCCCAACTGGATGCTGAAAAATAGAAAAAAAAGCTGGGTTCTCTTCCCCTTATATTGTGGGTCTACAAATAGTTATAAGTTTTCCCATCTTTATTTGACAAAAATACTATATTAAATAAATATTCCAGATGAGAAAATATATCTAATAATCACATTGTCCCATTATCTAATAATATATATAGAAGAAAAGAAACACTCAACAGGGTAACCCAAATGTTACACTAATCTTCAAATCCCTCTGTCAACCATCTGTTATTGTATTTAACACATAGAAAGTCCACAAATGGCTTCCAGCCTCTAATAAAGCTGTCTAGTCCATTATCTCTAATCAAATCAGTTAGTTTTGGCATCTTTATTAATTACCCCAAACAAAAAATATATGGAGGAACTGCACCCTGAACAAAAACTATGAAATTTAAAAAATCTTTACCAATTGTTATATGTTCACATTTTAAAATGAAAAGATTATTACTTTCCAAAATATCAATGATAAGTTATGAATAATCTGATATATACATATCACAATGGGCTAAGAATCACTATTGAATCTGAGCTAAAGAGGTTCACGCGATCAATACAATATGAATCATGGAATGGAATTGTTCATTGAAGTGAGTTCAGTCCATATTACTAAAAATCAGTTTTGATTTACGTAACTCATAATATAGATTTTATGCATAGATAAATCCACATTTTGAACCGGAATCATCATCTTTTTTGTTTTTGTTGAATTCCCCTATTAAACAAGACACCTTTCTAGATATGTGGTCCAGGCCACACAGGGTCATTTGGAAGGGTGGGAGTAGTGATCACCATTTTTGTTAACTGCTGCAAAGAAATCAGGAACCCCTTCTTTAGATCCTTCTTTTTCTCATATTACTATTACAGTATAACAGAATGAAAGAGTTGCAGTGGACTGTGCAGGTTTTCTAGTTTAACTGCCTGCACAAGCAGGAAACCTTATACCATTTCAGACAAATAGCTGTCCTATCTCTTCTTAAAAGCTTCCAGTGTTGGAGCATCCACAACTTCTGGAAGCAAGCCAGAAGAACATACCCTTTTTGGCTACAAACTGTGATTCTGCATAAAGGGATGCTTACTTAAGATTCTTTTTTTTTAAAAAACTAAACATACTGGAGCACCCAGAAGAAACTACCATACAGCTCTTAGATCTGCTCTTTTAACATTTTCTCACTTGTATAGATTCTTTCACATAGAGAACCTCAAAATTATTATGTCAACATGCATAATGAGTTGAAGTCAAAAAAAGACACACATGGATAAAAACCAAATCATACAAGTCAGAGACCCCTCAATTTTCTTGCAGTGCAAAACAAGTCCTATGTCCAGCAACGACAACTTGCAGAACAAAAGAGGTTTGGGAAAAAAACAACAACCAGAGAATAGTGGAAACCCTACTTCAATCTACTCTACCCTGATGCCCCAAGATGTTTGGAATATGGCTCCCAGGTATTCCAGATACCTTATGGTACGCCCTGTATCACCAAGCAAATTGAAGGACAGATATTAACCAAGGTATAGCCCAGCCTCCTTCAAACTGGTGCCCTTCAAATGTATTTTATTATAATGGCTGAAAATGATGGGACTCCTGGCCATTGGATGCCTGCTTAGTGAAGGCTGGTGCAGGAAAAAATTCTGCAGTTTTCTCCCTGTTATTGTAAGCCATATGCTGCCTTACAGCTACTTTATCCATCATTTTTGGGTCAAGGTCATCCCTGAAGCAGACAAAGACAGTACAAAGAGAAGCCAGCTCTTGCAACTTATTGTTCTGTCCCAATGAGGCCGCAAATCAGTGACCCAGTTCCAAACGGGTATTGCACAATTCTTGTGACAACAGCTTGAATGACACCCACAAAATACCTTTGTTTGCGGGCTATTTGCCAAGAAGTTTGGCATTAATGGTTTACAATCTCAGCTTCTGAAAAAGAAACAACTCATTCATCATTTTGAAGGTGGACTGATAGGAAGGGGGTGAAACTGATTTTCTTTTTGGTTTGCAAGGACAGAGTAAAAAACGAACAGAATGAATTGAATTCCTTCCAACAGAATCCAACTGAATCATACACTGCAAAATGATTCTGGCCTGGTTCACTTATTCTTCTAAGCTGTAGCCTGCTTAATTTGGTTCATTAAATAAACCACAATTGGCTGGACAGGCAATAATGCTAAACTATAAACTAGGGTTTAGAGACCACAATGACTGGTCACTGAATAAACACAATCAAAGAAAGGCATATGGGTGAGATGCAGTATGCGAATCCAACCAAATCAATGTTAGGCTGTTGTACACAGCTGTTTGAGAACCAGAATCCAGCATTTGGTGCTAAATAATCCAGGAATATAGAACATAAATGAATTCAGAAACATCTTATTGCTCACACAAGATACAAAAGCAACAGAGTCATTCTCCCCCTTCTCCTCTATAGAGGATTCTATGGTCAACTTGGCGGAACAATTGCAATTCTGTCATCTGTCACAAGGTAGAACATCAGCAGGAAGCTCTCCTCTTCCTCTTCCTATGGAGGGGGACCCAATGACCAGACCAGGAGGAAAGATTCAGTGCAGGGCCAGTGTACCTCCCTTACAGAAAAACTGCCAATTGCAGTTTTGCAGTTAATCCATGCTGCTATTCACAGATCTCAACAATTCGCAAGGAGTAAAAATATAGTATTCCCAATATTCCAAGTCCTTAATAACATGTCAAGTTGCTCAGGATCTCAAAATGTTGCAGCAAGTAGCAACATCCAATCAATCTTAGTTGATCTTGAAAAAAACCAAAGAGATTTGGATATGATTATTAAAGAGATAGGAGATCACTACTAAGAACTGGGGGAAAATCCCAGAAAAAGGCTGTAACAATAAGCATCTGGAAGAAGTCAGGACAAAGTCATACATGTCACGATGTCATTGCATTCATGACACAAATGATGTAATCTGAGTCATTCACAACATGACATATGTAACATGGAGTAGATTATTTGCATCTTTTGTGCAATGACAATGTGATGCATATGTACCTATCCCCTCTTCCTTCCCTCTGTGGATGCACGTGGCTGGGGCACACTGCTTCCATACTGTGGAAACCATAATCCCAAGAGCAACTATGTTAGGTAAAGGAATAAAGAAGACATTTATTTAATAAGAATTGATTTTTCTTTTTGAAGTAGGAGGCCTCAACAACCCAAGCAATAGCAAGTTTTGGGCAATACTTAATACTCATTTAATGCCCCAGAGCAGCTCCAGAACAGCAGCTCTTATTAAATTTATCAACAGGAAAACAAGAGGCATCAGTGTGCGATCTTTTTAGAGAGATAACTTTAGTCTCCTCGAATTTATTGGCTCAATGACACATTCTCTGTCTCTCGGTGCTTTGCATATTAATCTCCTTAAGGTGATGCTTATGATTTTGTTTACCACTCTTTGTAAGCAATTAAGTTGCTGTCATGTGTTGCTGTTAAATTATATGCATATATAATTTATATTATTTGTCTTTGCTATTGGGATACCCACAGCCATTGTCACATCTGAATGTAACACAATTTTACAGAATAGGCCCTTGGAGGTCTTATAGAACCTTATATTATTCCTCAATAATAATAATAATAATAATAATAATAATAATAATAATAATAATAATAATAATAATAATAATAATAATAATAATAATAATAATATAAGCTCAAGACCTTATATTATTCCGGAGAAATGGCTGTCCAATCTCTTCTTAATCTTAACTTTTTTCTGCAATTCTAACATGCCATTTTTGTCCCATGGCTGACTTGGGCATAAACTCCATACACTCGGTCAAATGTTGCTTCTCCCGATCTCCCACTAAGATAAGATGACAAGTTGCCTTGCCCTCGGAAGTTGTGGGAGCGTCATCACTTGAGACTTTCAATAAGAGACTGGACTGCCATTTATCAGAAATGGTGTAGGATCTCCCACTTGGGCGAGGGTTGGACTAGATGACCTACAAGGTCCCTTCCAACTCTGATTATCTGTTATCTGTTAAAATATTTGGACAAGAAAAAAACCTCACTGGCTGGATTTCTGCAGCGAGTTAAAGCTTAAACATATAAAATAAGATATTATTTGTCACAGTCATTTTGGATTAAATCAGAATCCTCCAGGTGGGTTCTTATCGTAGAGTCACAGCTTCCATGATAAACATCCAGATTCTCAACCCGACTCCTCTGATGGGCATCAGAAGACAGGGACGCTCAGCGACAGCAGGAAGGACAGAAGCCACCCAACTAAGGGCAAAGAAATGACAGCAAGGATGGCGTGAGCGTCAGTTTTTGAAACCCGCATGACTAACCCTGTCTTTGCCCTCAGTCGAAATGGCCTCCCGCGCATTTCTTGACGTAAATGGGGGCGTGGTTTGGAAGCCTTTCGGCGGGAAGCGCTAATGGCGGCACCCGGGACGGGGAAGTTGCTTGAAGGAGGGAAAGAAGGCGGGAGCGCTGCTGATGTCGCCTCTACTTCTACTTCTCCCGCCGGGAGCGGCCATTATGAATTGCCCTGGTGAGAAACAGAACCGGGGAGGAAGGGCAGGCCCACCAAAGGATGTTACTGAGGGTTGCGAAGCGGGGGAAGTGGGTCCGGACAGTTAGGTTGATGGCGCAGCAATAGGAAGCCGGTGTTCTTTTTGTGGGAGCGTTAAGATGGTGACTTTGGGGAGGTGGGTGGCGAGGGATTGCATTGGGGGCCGCTTAGACCTGGGCTGCAAAACTCTGAACGGCCATTAGGAGGCAGTAAAGTGCGAGGGAGTGCTTAAAAGTGTTTTTTCCTGCCCTCTAGTGGCCGACCGGGGTTTGCATTGGCATTTTTAGGTTTTGGAGGAGAATGAAAGAGTAGGTCAATGTGCTAGGCTACAAATCAGAAGATTGTGGGTTCTAGGCCTCCATTATGCATGCAAGACAGCTGGGTGACTCTGGGTCAGTAATTCTCAGCCCATCCACCTTATGGGGTTGTTGCTGTTGGGGGAAATTTAGCAGGAAGGAGTATTAGGTAAGTTCATAACTTAGAATTACATATTTAAAGGTGGGATGAAAATATAATGATGATAGATTATTTAAGGGGCATAAATTGGATTTTGCAGAGGCATTTCAGAAAGTCACTGATGGAAAACCTGAAAGACCAGGTTAATCATCAAATCTATCCAGGTGGTGATAAAGAATTGACCCCAACTGGATGGCACATTTTTATGTATAATAAGAAATTACATATGTGTATGTGTGTGTATATATGTGTATACATACACATACAGAGAGAGAAAGAGGCTTTACAGAAACCTGTGGTCGGGATGGCAGTATTCACACACTCGCCTAATCTGCATACTGTGCTGAACCCCTTCTCACCTAAATTAAATTCAGCTCCAGTGGACTACATAGAAGCAGCCTTACAGTTTTCTTGGCAAATGAAAATTATTTGCCATAGATTTCTTCTGGGTTGTTGGTTGATTTTCCAGGCTGCCCTTCATCTCTGCAATTCCCAGATAAATTCCCACAAGACAGGTTTACAGGTAGTCCTCGATTTATAACAGTTCATTTAGTGACTGTCCAAATTTACAACACTGAAAAAAGGGACTTATGACCATTTGTCACACTTACAACCATTGCAGTCACATGATTAAAGTTCAGGCGCTTGGCAACCGATTCATATTATGACCAAAAGGGTCATGTGATCCCCTTTTGTGACCTCCTGACAAGCAAAGTCAATGGGGAAGGCAGATTAACTTAACCATGTTAGTAATTTAACAAGTGCAGTGATACACTTAACAACTGTGGCAAGAAAGGTCATAAAAAGGGACAAAACTCACTTAACGGATGTTTCACTTAACAGAAATTTTGGACTCAATTGCGTCTCTAGTGTTTTCAAAATTCACCAGTTTGTGTTTGATGCTGCCGTAGAACTATCATCTAGCAAGCAGTTTCATTTGTGCATAATAACAATATTAAATAAATATACTGCCCAACTCCCAGTGACTCAGAGTTGCTGTTATACTAAGTCACAGAAATCCTGGTCCAGGTTAATACTAACGAAGCTTTGCATGTTGGGCATGGAGCTGCTAGATTTGGAACATATCTGTTTATGTGCAAGCAAAATATACCAAACTAGTTTGGATAATGAAACTTCTGCAAGAAAAAAATTCAAGCTCAGAGAGCACCAAAGACTTCTCATTTCAACCCTGAGCTACAAATATTCTTCTTTATTGGTTCTTCCAAATGTTTTTGGAAACAATTATATGGCTCTTACAGACAATTTACTGTAGATAAATGCTTATAGGCTAAGTTCCTGCATTGGTCACCCATACCTTATGATGCAAAAAAATGATGCAGTTCTTTATTTCAATCAATCAAAATAGAGCTGGAAGAGACCTTGGAGGTCTTCTAGTCCAACCCCCTGTTAAATCAGAAGACCCCATTCAGTTTGGCCTCCCCAACTTGAAGCTCTCCAGATATCTAGCCAGCCAACATGCTCCTATGTTTTCTGAAAATGATCTCTTGAGTTTGCACAACATGGTCAGCATGTTGTGGGAACCAGGTCTTCACCACGACATGATGTGAACACAATATGTCACGTGAAATCAGCCACTGTATTTTGTTCTAATCCTCAATTTAGAATTTAGTTTATTGTATGAACCCAGGCAATATGCTTCTTTAATACAACTAGAAGATGATGCCAATTGGGGGAAACTATTTTAGTACTTATTAACTTGATTGCGTTTTTCCTGCTCTTCCCCCCATACTTGTTTCCAAACTTCATTTTCTGCTTCAGTTCCCTCTCTTTCAACTGCATTTCCTTTCTTTTGCCGTTGGCACAGGGGGGAGTATTAATGTGTCTTGTCCAACAGGGTTGAAAAATACAGGCCAATGAAGATGTCGGAAATTGTTGGCAATGAAGACACTGTTAGCAGATTAGAGGTATGTAAACCACTTTATGTTAGAAGAATGCTTCTTTCAGTGGCTATGAAATTTTAAGATCTATTCATAAAATGGTCTAAGTAGGTCTTGTAACTAGGGGAGTTATTTTCCTGCAATGAACTGGCACCGAAATGAAGGAGAGCTGCATTTCTTTGTTGGCTTTAGAAGACGACAATATCCAAATATCCTCATGGAATTCTCAGTTGCCTATGGCTACAGCTAATGCTCTAGTGCTCTATGTTGGGCTCACTTCAAACATTGATTTTAGAACCAGTTTAGGAAGTGTTATTATAAGGGCTCTATATCGTTTTTGTTCTTGGCACTAAATCACAGAGGGTGAATCATTTGCTGATACTCTCTTTTATGTCTTTTTGTTTACCATGAGACAAGGCTAAGGAAAAAATGTAATAGATGGTTAAAGTAATGGATACAATTCTATATTTTAGCTCTTGTCTGAATACCAAAACTGAGGGCACTTATTACCATAAGTGACAGCATGTTGCATGGAATTCCTTGTTTGTTATTTGCTCAATATAGATTGAAGATGATTCCATAGTACAGAACTTAAACAGAGAAAAGTAAGATGTTTCTTTTCTTATATTACCACCTGTAAAATCTTATTTCAAATTCTAAAAAGAGAACTTGTTTAGAAGGCATGGAAGACTGTCAAGGAAGGCAAAAAGTATTGATAAGAAAGTTGCAAGAGATTTTGAAACATTTACATCATAACTCTCCATAACTTCCCAAAATTTGAAATACATACTATAATTTCCAAGTACAGAAACTTGCATTTCTAATTAACTGTCCTTTTTTTCTCTTTCCTAGGTGTTTGCAAGAGAAGGAAATGTTCCAAATATTATTATTGCTGTAAGTAATTTGTTTCAAGCTAAGTGCCATCTTAAAAAAATTAAGTCACCGGCAGTTAGTGATGAGAATCCCATTATTTGTTCATTCAAATTATATAGCTGCCTATCTCATTTTTACTCTAGATGGTTTACGTTAAAACAAAAACCACACAATATAAGAACAAATAAAAATGGAAACGATTAGCAGCTGGGCATAACCTTACCTATCATCCACACAGCTAGGAAATCGGCTGTAATCTGGGCCCAGGGGTAGGTAAGGCAAAAGGCAAGTTTGAAAGACCAGCAAGGATTGGGCTAATCCCTTGATGGCAAACTTATGACACGCGTGCCACAGATGGCACGCAGCACGCTCTCTGGGCACGCGAGCCATCGCCCTAGTTCAGCTCCACCGCGTGTGCGCCTCCCACTGGCCAGCTGGTCATTGGGTCTCTGCTGTGCATGTGTGAGGACGGGGTGTGCATGCATGGGCAGCGTACGCATTGCCTTTTGAGGGTTTGGACACACGCATTCGCGCACGCGCTTTGGGCACTCCTTCTGGAAAAGGTTAGCCTTCACTAATCACAAGGGAATGATGTTCCTAAAGGCAGCGGCCACGACAGAAAATGCTCTTGTGGTTCCCATCAGTTGTCATTCCCTAGCTGACAGTACCTGCCACTCTTCCTGCCAGATAAGACAGATAGAAACAATTGGGGAGAGACAGTTCCTTAAGTAACTATTAAGTATAAAATACAACAAGTACCAGTATTAGCACTTCCTCTATTTTTTGTGACAGTAACTCGTGTAATTACCATAGCTGCCATTGATTATATTTTAAGTCTGCAAGCTTCTCTAGACTTAAACCTTTAAGGGTGACATGTTTCAAGAAATAACACCACAATTTCCAAATTCCAGGTTGTCCCTAACAATGGGATGACTTTTGGAATCTTTTTATTTTTTATTTTCTTTTTAAGGGCCCACCAGGAACCGGTAAAACCACCAGCATCCTTTGTCTGGCTCGTGCACTTCTGGGCTGTGCATTGAAAGATGCCGTTTTGGAGCTCAACGCATCAAATGACAGGTGAATCAAAGGTTAGAGGGAGAGCTGTGTTTAATTTAAGCAATCTTACTCCATTCTTCAACTGACAAGACCTCTTAAAATAGCTTGCAAAGATCATGCTGCCCCCATTCAAGGTTTAATACCAGTGAATAACAAGTAATAACTGAGCATTTTACTTCCAGGGGCATTGATGTCGTCAGGAACAAAATCAAGATGTTTGCACAACAAAAAGTGACACTTCCAAAAGGCCGACATAAAATAATTATCTTGGATGAAGCAGACAGGTGAGAAGTTTTTTCCTCACTCCAACAATCACCTATATGAATTTGAAGAGTACTAATGTCATGTTTCCTTTAAGGTCAGCCTGAGTGAAACTGTTTACATTAGTAAATAGCATGTCCTGGACAAGGTATATTGTCCAATGATGACAGGCATTTTGGTGAACTTTCATGGCTTAAATTTATTTTGCCTTTTCTATTATTCCTCCACCAGCATGACAGATGGAGCCCAGCAAGCCTTGAGACGCACTATGGAAATTTATTCTAAAACGACTCGTTTTGCTCTGGCTTGCAATGCTTCTGACAAAATCATAGGTAAGAACATGGGCCATTTGGCTAGGAGGAGTGAGTCTCTCTCGCTTATTCCTAGATTGGAAATAAATATTTCTATTATCACAATGCAAGCGTCAAAGTAAAGATAGAAGCATAAAGGCCTTAAATGTCCTCTTGCTTTATAAGGTTGAAGAGAATTCTTGTAAGGCACAGTCCTTAGGGCCTGGTGTAAAAGAGCAGGTGAGAGTAACAAGTTCTACATTTGAAACTTACCTCTGCAGTGGATTTCCTCAGAAGTTTATTCTTGGCTCTAACTCATAAATGCCATTGGTATCCTTCAGTCTCAAGAGACTATGGTATCGTGCTCTAAAAAGAGATCCTAAAACAGCATCTAGTGTGGCTAAAAAGGCCAATTTGAGAGTGGCAATCCCTTCCACACTGAGGACAGATACAGTCTGTCTCCCGTCCAGCCCCAGGATTACGCTGGTTCCTGCACTGCCTCTTTGCCGCCTCCTGCTGAATGAGTGTCCCTTCGAATTGGAGAAGGCCATGCTGCATCTTTAGTCTCCAAGCTGAATGATCAGAGGTCAAGGTTTCCCAGCTGTCGATGTCCATTCCCAAGGCCTTTAGATCCCTCTTGTAGATAGCCTTACATCACAGCTGTGGTTTCCCTCTAGGGCACTTTCCCTGCACTAATTCTCCATACAGGAGGTCTTTCGGAATCCAATCATCAGCCATCCTCACGACATGCCCAAGCCAGCATAGACGTCGCTGTTTCAATAGTATATACATGCTAGAAATTCCAGCACGTTCCAAGACTGCGCTATTTGGAACTTTATCATGCCAGGTGATGCCAAGAATACGTCAGAGACAGCGCATAGGAAAGGTGTTCAATGCAGATATAAATGCAGACATACTAATAACAACCAGACTTGAAAAGCTGCTGTAAAATTGCAGTTGTAGAACAGTCTTGAACATTTGGAAAACCACTGTGTAAATGCTTTGTGAGATTTTACAAGTTCTCACTCACCCATGGTGGCATTGTTTATAATTATTTGGCACATCACTGAGAGGATCATGTGAGGAGCCTCTGTGATAGCCACTTGGCAGGAGATCTTCTCACGTGGTTCCCTTCAAAAACAGTCAGTAGATTGCAGACACTGCCACAGTGATGTGAGATCAACCCATGCTATGTAAACATTTAATAATATGAAAACTGGACTTGAGCCAAAAGGCAAAATAATCCCAGAATCTCTGAACCAGAGTAAATAAGATGGCTGGTGTGCTGCAAACAATGTTTGGAGAGGTTTAATTGACTGTGAAATTGCATGTTTTAAAGTTAAGCCAATTAAGAACTTAATTAGCATGATTTTATGCCTCTTTATGTAGGTACTGAATCTTGATGTCACTGAGTACATGATTTCAAAGATCATTGAATCCAATAGGATCCAAACATTAGAATCACTGGGAGGTACAGCTTGTGGTCTTCCCTGTGGTTCTGGCTTAAGATTTCATGTGGGGCCTTCTAAAGTGACATCCCAAGTATGAAACTCAAAGGAGGAGATGTGACTTTTCCCAAGTCATCTACTTTTGAATAGTTGCTCAAGATATGCTTATTTATTGGGGCATTTGTAAGGTAACATCTCTTCCAGGATGGCTGCTTTTTAAAGAAAGTTTGCTTTCTGTTATTTGTTAATTCTGTTAAAGGTGCACTGTGAAAAAATTGAATTAAATTAAATATAAAATAAAGTGAACTAATGTCAACAGTACAACAATTAATCAGTGGAACGACTTGCCTCCAGAAGTTGTGGAAGCTCCAACACTGGAAGTTTTTAAGAAGAAATTGAACAGCCATTTGTCTGAAATGATAAAGAGTTTCCTGCCTGAGCAAGGGGTGGACTATAAGACCTCCAAGGTCCCTTCCAACTCTGTTATTCTGTTAATGTAACTGCTTTACTATGTTTTATTATAGATTGCTGTATGGGTTATTTATTTAATTACTATAATATTTATAAAACCACCCAACTCCATAAGCCTAACCCTGGACACCAAAACAGCAAATAACACATTAATTGGGTTAAATGGTTTCATAAATAAAGAGTCACTAGGGACAGTGAGACGGGCAGTATATACATTTAATTAAATAATAAATATATATCAAAGGGAAAAAATCCCCATAAAACAGTAGAATATATGAAAGCCAAATATATAATACAAAAAGGCAAGCAGGCTTATAGCAAAGTAATCACAAGGCAACTCATCCCTGGTCTTTAAGAAGCTTTATTTATGCACTGCTCTGGATTCCCTTCATAGGAGGAGCAGTAGTGCATAAGTAAAAGTAATACTGGTTTTGAATACCTTTAAGGAATGATGTAGCAGGGGACTCTGACGTAAACAGAGGTTTGGGCAGGAGCAATTCCTGGCAACCTGTGGTTTTGGTTTAGTAAGAGAGGGTAGACATCAGAATCCCCTGTGCTTGACTACAGCTTCAAATTCAAATCTAGAAAGGATGTTGACCATTCTGTCACAGTATACCCAGGCATGGGTGCTAAAACCAACTTCCTTTTATGCAAAGCAAAGTACATAGGCCAAATCGAAAAGAGATTATATCCCCATAATTGAAAACTATGGGTTCAGTTTCTGGCATTTCCCAACAGAGTTAGGTGAAATTCCTACCTCAAATTCTGGCAGTTGCTACTGGTCACTGTAGACATTTTAAAGATAAAAGGACAAATGGTTGATGCTGAATATGTTTTTCTTCCAGTGTTCCTAAAACAACTGCATTTAATCCCTGCAATTAAATTACATTAAAACAAATAGCTGGATGACTTTGGGCCAGTCACACTATCTTAGCCCAGTTCACCTCATAGGATTGGTGGAAAAAGGAGGAAGGAGTACAAATAGTCTTTCACTTACCACAGTCCTGTTTAGTGACTGTTGGAAGTTACAACTACACTGGGAAAAAAGGGACTTATGACTGTTTTTCACGTTTACGACCATTGTAGCATCCTCATGGTCACATGATCAAAATTCAGATGGTTGGCAATTGTCTCATTTATGACGGCTGCAGTGTCCTGGGGTCTTGTGATCACCTTTTATAACCACCTAACAAGATTAATGGAGAGGCCAGATTCACTTGACAGCTGTTCCCTAACTGAATAACTGCAATGATTCCTTAACCATGGCAAGAAAGGTTGTAAAATAGGGTAAAACTCACTTAACAATGGAAATTTTGGGCTCAGTTATGGTCATAAGTCGAGGACTATCTGTATTAGGTATGTTTGGCACCTTGCATTATTTGTAAAAATAATAAAGACAAGAAATAAATGTAATTTCATCTCTAAATTCACTGCCCTCTAGAACCCATCCAGTCTCGCTGTGCAGTTCTGCGATACACTAAGCTAACAGATGCCCAGATTCTTATGAGGCTAATGAAAATCATTGCGAAGGAGAATGTACAATATACAGATGATGGTCTAGAAGCCATTATCTTCACAGCCCAGGGAGACATGAGGCAGGTGAGTAATGTCTTCCTGCAGCTTCTTTAATTCTGTCAGTATCCAAAGTTGAGACATGAATTTGCTATTGCTAAAATTCAATAGCTTTGCCATGTGGTACTTTCCCCTGTTTTTGGGGGGTGAAACTGGCCGCTGGAGAAACAGATGGACAGCAAAGACTTTCGATTCTACAGGTGACATAGTGCAGATTCAATATTGATGTTGCAAAAACCATAACAAAAGCTTTACAAGAAAGTTAACTGATTTGAAAATGTAATCTCTCTCTCACTCTCTTTCTTTCTCTTCCTCGTCCCTGCCTCCTCTCCAACTAACACCGTTATTAATGGTTGGATTAACTTGCATTATAAAAATCAAGTCTTCCTAGCTGTGGCAGTTTTTACAGCTGACAGTGCAATCCCTTTGGTGAACACAATATAATTTCATGTGTCAGCTTGAACTCTTTGTGGAAAGTAACACAAGTTTGTATCATGAAGCTGGATCATGGCTGCCTTCCTTGGAGAAAAGAGTTGGCCCATTGTCTAACATATACCTGGTCACATACTACAGCTTCTTCACAGAAAAGTTCCAAATTTAATTCTTCAATGGGGTTTAAATGTATTAAGACCACTCATTGGGGATAAAGTGAATTTTGATGTCATCCCAAAGTGAAAATGGGCTGGCCTCTTCAGATAGAACCAAAGTGGGAGTATTGTCTACCATCCTGATGATTGCAATAGTTTGATTATAATATTTCCACTGTCATTAAAATATTCTTTCAGTATCCTGAATTATAATTATTCAGGTGATGGATTTTATAAAGTATTAAGTGGCTTCATATTTAGCCTAGTATGTGAAAATCGGTAGGATGCTATTTGCACTTCTGCAATATTTTATTTCCTGGTTTCTTTCCAATGCTGCAGTCTTTCAGCCATTGATTTATGTTGATGCTCAGTTCTTATTTTCCCCTTTTTGAGATTTTTTTTTAAATAACTTCTACAAACCATACCCCTATCTCTTCTTTTGTACAAAAATCATGCCATTTTAGTTACATCTAGATATTTTTCTTTCCTGGTTGAGAAACTGTGTAGATCTTTAAAACTTTAAGGATAACCTTTTTTTAAATATAGTAATGATAGTATGTTTTCATTCTTTTAACAGGCACTAAACAACTTGCAATCTACCCATTCCGGATTTGGTTTCATCAATAGTGAGAATGTATTTAAGGTTAATTAAAGTTTTTTCTTTAAAACTGCACTGATGATGTTACATGGCTGGGTAATGAAATCTCTGCAAGCAAACAGCCAAGTTCAAAGAGCACCAAGGACTCCGTAGTTCTAAGCTACATATATTCTCTTCTTTTGGAAGTTTTTCTTTTGCCCGTCAGAGTCAGTGCGATTTGCAGAATTGTAAAGGAGTTTTGGCAAAATGGTGGAAGGGGTGCTACATTAAAGAAAATTACCCCCTAAAATGTATTTTATTGTTTTGCATTTAAAGGTAGCATGATTCTTCTTTTGCATTGGGCATCTCTTGTTTGCTGCCCCTTTTTAAAGTCCCCCATCAAAAAAAAAAACCTGATCTTAAAAATGTCTTCTCCAAAGAAAATCTTTATCCTGCCCACGTGAATATTCCCACAGTGGCTCACTTCTAAGATCCTGTCACATAGGAAGTTGCTTTATGCCAGATCAGACTCTAAATCCACCCACTTTAATACTGTTTACCCTGATGGCTTGCTATTTTTTACCCCAATCCTTCTTGGAACCAGACTTCTAAACACTCTACCATCTACTTTGGTCATTGTTCATGCCAGTAAGCAACCAGTTTCATGGAAGAATTTAGATATAGATCATGAATTGGGACGTCAATTTCCTGAGGGGAAAATTGCATTTGTTTACACATTTAAAAAAAAAATGTGCTAGTTTGAAACAAAGAGTCTGAAGAGTCTGTGTTTAAGAGATTAGGCTGTGTTTTATTGAGTTCCTATGAAATTATCCTGAACCAGTTCCACTTTGGCAGACTTGTAGTTCCCATATCTTTCCAGGTCTTATAGGACCTGTGCAGCCTTATATAGTTTAAATAGGTTGATCTTTCTTTATGGAGATATGGACCATAACTGTTTTCAATAGCATTGGGGGCTTTTGACTTCATGATGATGCTCCTGTTTTTGCCACAGGTGTGTGATGAGCCCCATCCATTGTTGGTGAAGGAGATGATCGGCCATTGTGTCAATGCAAACGTCGATGAAGCTTACAAGGTGGGCACAAGAGGAGTGCATATCTTTTGCCTCTTTTGCTTTCTGGTTTTCTTGCCAGAACATAGGACAGGAACCACATCTGTAAAATGTGAACATAGGACAGGAACCACATCTGTAAAATGTGAACATAGGACAGGAACCACATCTGTAAAAGGATCTCTTTCTCACAGCCATTTTAGGAGCTCGTGGATTGTTTAACATATTGCCCTAGATCATGGTTTTAATTATATGTTCTAAAGGCAACAATAGGCTGGGGTCATGGAGAAAAGACATGTCACAAGTTTTCCTCTTTGTTCTCCTTTTTGAAGTCCATTATCTTTATAATTTAATTGTGATTATATTGATTTTCATTGATGTTTGAGCTGTCTTAAAAATAGTGTTTGAGAAACTGGATGTATATCTTTAAAACTGTTAGGTATCAAATGATAATTTTGTTCTTTCTTCAGATTCTTGCTCACTTATGGAAGCTTGGTTACTCACCTGAAGACATCATCAGCAATATTTTCCGAGTCTGTAAAACATTCCAAATGGCAGAATATCTGAAGTTGGAGTTTATTAAGGTTAGGTTTTGTGGGAGTTGCTGGTGTAAGCAGCAGGGTTGGCTATGCAAGCCCGAGTGCCTGAAGAAAGAATCTTTTTAACATCTGGATCTTTATATAGATCCATTCATAATCCTGTATAAACTTCCTCCTTAAACAGGTGAAAAGGATACTAATGAATTCCATCCCATCCCAAAGTAAAATTGCACAAAACATCTCTAACTCTCTTGCTCCACTTGAAGTGACTTCGTCATCCATTTAGGAGTAGAAGGATAGGCAACTTAAAAGGAGTCTTCAGATTTTCAAGAAGCTGCTTCACTCCCCTCACCTCATGCTGCATATTGTACATGTGTCCCTTGGATGTGTTTATTTTATTTAATAGAATTACTCTGGGTGCCCTAGCAATTACAATAGGAAAATGTTAAAAACAACAACAATTGAAGTCACCTAAGTGTCCAGATAAAGTACAGATAGTCACTCAGAAGTCCAGAAACACTCTACTCAAAGGTCTGAGAGAAGAGCCGCTTTAAAAAAAAACACCTTGTGGGAATGGGAGGGAGCTAAATGAGTCTCTAAGAGATCTCTTTCCAGAGGGCAAGAGCCATAACAAAGAAGCCAACTACTTGAGGGATCTTTATGTACATCATCTCTGCCAGAATTGTCAGGAAAGGCGTTTTGTGGGTCCCGTTGGCCAAAGAGCTTTGTTTAGTAGGATCCAGGAAGGGAGCCTTTTCTGCTGTGGCACCCGCCCTGTGCAACATTAAGGTCCTCCCCTTAACCGGGACCTTAGATTGGCCCTGACCCTCCCAGCCTTTAGGAAGGCCATGAAGACAGGAATCTGCCGCTTTGCCTCAGGGTCTGGCATATGGTGGAGAGCTCTTACCAAAAGCTGTGCTGAGAAGCATTTCTGCTGCGAATCATGCTTTTCTGTTATAAATGGATTACAGATGGGTTTTATATGCATATTGGTTTTGAACATAGCTTTATTGGAATGTGTTTACCCGTTTCAAGCCACATAAAATTGCTTGGATCAGGTGGCTTATCATACAAATGGAATAATGAATGGAAAATCTTACCGAATGGGCAGAGACTATGGGACATAAGTAGTTTCCCAAATAACCTGATACTATGCTTTAGAGGTGGTAATCATGAAGTCATATGAGTATAGTGAGGCATGCCCATGGCTGCTATTCCCCTGCATTATGGACCAGCTGCACCTTCTAGGTGAATTTCAAGAAAAGCCCTATGGAACATGGCACTGCAGTAATCCAGCTATGTGACTAGTGCTTGAGTTGATGTTAAGAGGGCCTCCTAGTTCAGACAGGGTGTATCCCTGTTTTTGTATCTACTGAGATGTCACATTTTTTTAATCCATCCCTTTTTTTCCACTACAAGTAATCCTCGACCTACAACCCTTCCTTTAGTGACCATTCAAAATAACAATGGCACTGAAAAAAAAGTGAACCTCTGACCATTTTTCACACTTAAAACGGTCGCAGTGTCCCCATGGTCATGTGATCAAAGTTCGGACATTTGGCATGAATGGATGATAGTGGCACTTCTTGTCCCAGGGTCGCGGGATCACCTTTTGTGACGACCTGACAAGCAAAGTCAGTGAAGCAACCGGATTCACTTAACAACCATGACACTAACTTAACAATTACAATGATTCATTTAACAACCAGCAAGAAAGGTAAAAATGGGGCAAAACTCAACTGTCTTGCTAAGCAACAGGAATTTGGGACTCAGTTGTGGTCGTAAATCGAGGACTACCTGTATACAACTGTCTCCATCAAATGATGTTGGGAATTCCGAGGATAGTTTTAGGGCAAGACGTAACACTAGTTGCTTTTTACTCAGGGGTGAGTTTTCTTGTTTAGTTGAGGTATTTCCTCTGTGTGGTTTTCCTCTTCCACACCTCAGTTTGCATGTGCATAGGTAGCTGCAACATGAAAATATAGCGGTTGTGATTTCATGAATGTATACTGAAATATTGTGTCTTTACAGCAGGAAAAATAGGAAGCTTATTTGAATTTAATATCTTTTTTCCCCTCTATGATTAGGAAATCGGTTATACGCACATGAAGATAGTTGAAGGAGTAAATTCGCTCCTACAAATGGCAGGATTGCTAGCCCGCCTCTGTCAGAAGACTGCTGCTCCTACCACAAGCTGAGAGGATGGACGGCAAGTTGGCCAATAAAGAGGAGATTTTGCAAACTGACTAGCTTCTTTGCGCAACCAAAGTATGAGTGCACGGCTTAGCATATAGTTGGTGGGTGCAAATGCACTTGTCAAAGCTGTGGTTTCTCTTACGACTTGTGTTTTTTTACAGTTAAATAAAACTTTATTATAAAAACTATCAGCCATAAACTTTGCTACACCAATGGTATTGCCTAGGAATGTGAATACATTTTTCCCCTCTCATGCTTTTAAGAATCCGAATAGTCTTCCTTTCTTAAATTATTCAGCCAAGATTATATAGTAATGCCTCTTTAATAGCACTAGATGGAACTGAAAATTAAAATACATTTGGCACTAAAGTACTTAAGCATTTCAGAGATATTCAGGCAAGAAATTCATTTGGTGAAAGCAAGAACATGGAACCTAGAGCTGGGGAATTACTGCTAGCAACTACCCTTGCTACTGGCCAGTTGATTAGAGCTAATCTTCAGCAATATTTGAAAGGTGGCTTGTCCTTCATCTGAAGATGTTCGAATCCATCAAGTTCCAGCTGACAGAATGCTGGCGGGAGGAAAGGATCTTCCATATTAGACCAATATTGACTTTAATGCAGCAGACTACTGGATGCAAGGCCAGCTAGATTCTTCTGAGAAACCTGTGAGCATATTGTGTTGGGTAGTTGCTGTCCCACGATTATCACTTTTTCCAGGTAGACACTATTACACGATGTATAGCTATTTTGGATAATAAATCTTCAGAAACGTGTACTTTGGTCATCACCATGGTCTATTGTGGGGAACACAACAATTTGAGAACAATGACCCTTGATTTTTCTCAAGCCACTACAAGAGAACAGTCTAACTCCTGGAATGCTTGTTAAATAAACTGCCCCATGATTTAGAAGCAATCCTGAGTATGTCCTTTTATTCATAATGGTGACTAGCAAGACTATGACCAAAAGGGCATATTAGGGATCATTGATAAATAATGGGATACTTCTTCAGCCAGCTGCTTTAGACAAAACCCATTCAGGATCTATCTTTTAAGTTATGCCCAGATCACATTTCTCTAAATTGTTCAAAATATAGACAAAATGCAGATTAGGAACCAAACAAAGAGAAACTGATGATAGGAGAATTGTGGATAATCAGTTGAGTATGCTATGTATTATACATCTGCTATGTTTCAAGGGCTGGAAACCTTTGCAAGAGGCTAGATGATTCCAAAATCCCTTTGAGGTTGGTTTTTTTTTTAAGAGATTCTTTAGCTAATGAAGCAATTTTTACCGGTTTTTATGCAGGAGACCTAGAAAGGAAATGAAAGAATGGGATCATCACAACTTCTGAAACAAAGGGAAACCATTCTAGATGAGAGGAGACAGTCTGAAACCCTCAAGGCCTTTTTAAAATAACTTTTAGAGTCATCTGATCAGCAGTTTCCTACCATGTTAAGGTAGAGATATAGCTGTAAATGTTAAAGCACAAGCCTTCAAATAAATTTAGCCCACTTGAAAATATAAATAATCACACTGCCTCCAGAGCCACATATATTATGTGGCTTCATCCACTTTTGCAGCTACTCACTCCAACCCACACTTCTACTTGTATTGAATGCAACCCTTGGTCTTCAAGATTGCTCATTCATGCTCTAAATCATTACAAACTTGCTGTTAAGAATTGTGTTATGTCCTGAATTTAAGTTACGTTCAGTAACTACAATTAATTCTCAAGCCCCTTAGATTCAGTCATGCCTCTGTAGTCTCTCGGTGACAGTATTAATATGCTATGCTAACAAAAACTCAATTTCTTCCAACTTTGCTTTTAAAACTTGTTCTTGGCAATCCTAAACCATTGTTTTGTTAATCTGTCTAGTTTTGTACATATCCTTTAGAAAGAATTGCACTATGGGTGTCTGGGGTGGAATGGGGAATTCCCAAATTATTATTTTAGAAAAGTAGTCTCCAGCCTTCTAGTATCCAAGCAAAGAAACCAAAATGTGTAATTCTATTTCTGATCCTTTTGTATACAGAAGGGTTATTTTTCTGTTTTTTAGCTTTTTTTTTGCCTAGGAATTAATCTGTCATCTTCCTTGGACCAGAGTGATTGCTGCGGTCTCAAAATAATAATAGTGGAGCTTGTAATATCTGATAACAGCAGAATAATAGAGAATTAACTGGAGAAAAATCACAAAATATAAAGACGCACAAATAAATGTAAACAGCTATGGCAAAAGAAAGCAAAGATAGTACCAATAGTAACAGGGCTGTTGGGTACAATTCCAAAACATCTGGAGCACTACTTGAACATGAACAGCATGAACAAAACCAATCAATTTCAGAAGGCAGCTTTACTTAGAATAGCTTACTTTCTGAGATGATACCTGTAATACTATTAAAGAGCATTTGGCTATCCCAGGTCCTTGTGGATGACTCCATAATGGCAACAAGTGCCAAATCCAGTCTAAATTTCTGGCTTACTGCACATACCACTATAATAATATTGATAATGCTGATTTCTGGAGTTGCTGTGAGTGTCTATCCCAAAACAAATATAGGAATAGAAACGGAAGCTTACACTCATATTTTATTTATTTAATGATGTGGAGGCTTGACATTTCTGCAGATTTCTTAAAAATTATCCTACAATATAGTCAGACGAAATCCAGACATGTCTCATAAATATTGCCAAAGTAAGATTCACTACCCGGGAGATTGTGATAAATTATGTTAAGGTCCGCAAAGTAAGTCAGAAATAACAATGCTGACAAGTAGGGCCAGGAAGATGTGGAAAGAACAAGGTATGACAATCCTGTAAACTAGTTCAGTGTTGTTATCCAGTCTTCTGGTATGTTGGCGTTGGGATGCTTTCGTTCCTTTTGGATTTTGGCCCTTGAAGATTTCAGTCACAGGTGGAAAGATCGTCTGGATCCCAGGCTAACCCATTAAAAAGTAGATTTTAGGATACCAATTTCTCACAAATGGGCATCTCTACCTTGAGAAGTGGGAAAATAAAAAGGTAACTTAATTCTCAAGATGAGGTTTAAATGTATTTTTAATGCAGTTGGAAATTACATTAGAAGGTTTTGGAGGGAAGCCATGTTACTCTGGTAACCCAAACACCAGGAATTATCTGGTAGTATCCTTTCACACTAACAAATGGGTGGGTTTGAAAAGCTACCCTGTTTCTCCAACAATCCGGCCTCCCCCAATAGGAAGTCCCAGCATGTTTTATAGGCATGAAATGAAATTAAGCCCCTCCCCCCAAATTAAGGCCTATATTAAAACATGCAAAATGGGGGGGGGGGAATGGTGGGGGGGCTTGCCGTTAGGAAGTACTTTTGTTGCACACCCGGATATGGTGTTGCCTGCGTTGACCCCGATACGAAGTGCCCCACCAACGCCGAGGTCAACACCCAAGCCATCGCCGCCCACCCGCCTGAAGATGCAAGGGGGAGGGAATTAAGTCACCCCCGAAAAGACGGCCTAGCCATTTTTTCGGGGCTCAAAAAAAAAATAAGACCCGGCCTTATTATATGAGAAACACGGTAGTACCAGATCTCCTGCACTTAATCACAATGACTGCTGATTGACAGTGTGACCACAGTCTTGCCTTATACACATAGTCCTCAGTCTATGACCATTAGGCCATAAATCATGATTGTCATAAAGCAGGTCATTAGTGACTGACCCAATTTTATAATCTTGTGGCAGTTAAGTGAACCCATTGTTCACTATAGACAGTTTTATTGGCATCGTGATGGCACAGTGGTTAGAATGCAGTATTGCATGCTAACTCTGCCCATTGCTAGCAGTTTGATCCTGACTGGCTCAAAGTTGACTCAGTCTTCCATCCTTCCAAAGTTGGTAAAATAAAGACCCATATTGTTGGAGACAATATGCTAAATTTTGTAAATTGCTCAGAGGGTGCTGTAAAGCACTAGAGTAGTACATAAATGCTGTTGCTATTGCTAGAATCAGAAATAAATGCCTTTTTTTTTTTTTTTTTTGCAAAAACGATGTAAATTGCATTTATGTGACCGCAGGATATACAAACAGGCTGATAGCCCGGTGTCCAAAATACAGTCACGTGACTGCAGGGGTAGGCAGTCATTTTTGAAACTTTGGAACCAGGTCATAAATACCTTTTGGGGGAGTCTGTTGTAACTTTGAACAGTTGCTGAGTGACCAGTCATAAGTCAAGGACTTATCTATACCCACTTATATCACTGAATCCCTTTAATTCCATTGCATGCTCTTATATTTCAATATCTTGATTGAGTTTTTAAAAAAACTTTGATTTCTGATGAACTAATTTTCTATAGACAATATTCACCAGTGTCATCATTCAAATAGACTTAAGTGTTTCTCAATCTTGAAAACTTTTCATATGTGTGGACTTCAACTCCCAGAATTCCCCAGCCAGCTATGCGTTGAAGTCCACACGTCTAAAAATTACCAAGGTTGAGAAACACCAATTAGAACTTGAAAAGAAAAGAGTTTCCTTTGTTTTAGATGGAAACTACATTTAAGATTCCTTAAATAGAATTTGCCAGATTTTGAAACTGAGACTGTCTAAAAAACATTCTTTTGTATTAAATTAATTAGAATTATTTTTTTCTCTTATGGGAAGACATAACAACTAGGGATTCACATTGACAATGAATGACTGCACACATCCTGTATCATTCCCAGTGAAGGAGAGCACGGCTTGTCTGCATAATTACCTGCTATATTGTTATGTATTGATGTAAATAGATTCTTCTTTACGATTAACACTGTTGCTTTCTGGAATGAGAAAATAATTATACATAAGTGGAGCAGAAAAAGAAGCTTGCTAGGGCTACGTAGCAGTACTGAAACATCCAGCTTAAAAACTAGAAGGCAACTGACGTTCTATCACTTTGCCACCATTATTGGTTGTAGGCCAATACAATACTATGCACAATATTATAAATACCTCCAGGACTGCAGAAAAAACAATTACGACAAGCCTGCCTTCAACTGAGGACCTGTATACTGCACAAGTCAGAAAGAGGGCTGTGAAAATATTTACAGACCCCTCACATCCTGGACATAAACTGCTTCAACTCCTTCCCTCAAAACAACACTATAGAGCACTGCACACCAGAACAACTAGACACAAGGACAGTTTTTTTCCCCAAAAGCCATCACTCTGCTGGACAAATAATTCCCTCAACACTGTTCAACTATTACAAAGTCTGCACTACTATTACTATTAACCTATTCCTCACTCCTTATCACCCATCCCCTCCCACTTGTGACTGCATGACTGTAACTTTGTCACTTGTATATTTATATTGACTGTTTCCTAGTATGATTTGATTGCTTATGACTATCATTAAGTGTTGTATCTTATGATTCTTGACGAATGTATCTTTTCTTTTATGTACACTGAGCACATTTGCACCAAGACAAATTCCTTGTGTGTCCAATCACACTTGGCCA